CAGAGATGTGCTATCAGGTGTGGGCGACTGGTATTTAAGTCTTCAGGAGGTTAAAGGAACTAGCACCTCTCTGTTACTGGTTTATTCCTCCTTCTGGCTTTCTCCTGGCCTGTGAGCCAAGTCTCAGGAAGACAGTGCTGGATTAAATTTCCACCAAGCTTTTGATAATAAGTTTTTTTTGAAAACTTAAAAGTAATAATAAAAACAAGTTTTTGAGGATTCTTTTCTACGGGCAGCCTCACCTTAATTTTTAACATTTTAAAGAAAAAAGAAAGCCCTCAAGGCCAAAGGACTAAATGTGTCCATACCATAGTGTGTCTGTCAGCTGTCTGTCACCTCCTTGAAAGATGGACATAAGGCCGACTCCCAGATTTCAGGACACTCCCATTGTGGGTAGCTTGGTGTGGGATACAGGAACTAACTTGGGGAGTTAGAAGCTTATCAAAGGTCAAGATAGATACCAGGTCCAGGAGTTTGCCATCAAACACTCTGCCTTTCAATTAGGTGGCCATGAAGTCCCAGCAGGGGATGCCCCTAGGGGGAGAAGAAGACACATCCCGGAGACTGGATCAGCTGCAGACCCAGAGTGTCATTTATGAAGAAGAGCCATGATGAGGGTTTTAAATATGATTTCTGATGTCCTTTGTCCGTACTTACCATAAATACCTTTGGGTATCTTGAATTGCTGCCTTATTTACCCTGGTCCTCGTGCTCATTTTGAGCACCTAAGTCACACTCTTGAATGGGCCTTTCTTTCGTTTGTGTTCTCGTGGCACCCCGTGCACAGAGTGGCACAGGTGACCATCACAGACAGAACTTGTGTCATTGTTCAGTGAAGTCCGAATGTTTGGATGGCGGTCTTGTTTCCTGTGCCCCCTGTACCGAGACCTAACACACATCATTGTCGTGAGGCTGTGGCAAACTGTTCTTTGTACATTTGCAGCTTTCTGGCCCCATAAAGCCACACCCTAGACCTGTGCTCTACGAGGCTTTGCAGACCTGACCCTGCCGTTTTAGGCAGGTTGAGTTTTCTGGTTTGTACATTATCTGAAGATTTATTAAGAGATGATGACTCTCAGCCTTTTGTCTTAGTCTCGCTGTTGTTTTGAAAGTGAAAACACCAGCCAAACAGCAACTGTATTACAGTGTAACTCGTCCATCATGGGTAGAGAACAGAACATCTCCAAGCTGAAGTCCAGGAAGCTCTGAAATGCTTGCTCATCCTTTGTCAGTTGAGGGAATGAGTCAGCAGTTTGTCAAGGCCAGCACACCTCCGCTCCAACAGAGACAAAGGTGCCTGTCCGGAGTGCAGAACTCTTCAAGGGCAGTGAGTCCAAGCTTGGTTTAATAACAGTTAGAGATGTGAGTGGCTGAAGTGTGGTCGTTTGCTTTAGGTTTGAGAAGTGTTGGCCGGTGCCTAGTGAATGTTAGTAGGAACGCACAGTCATTGCGTAGTTAAGGTGTTGGGTGAAAGGATTTCTGACTGCTTAGTTCGGGACACCTCTGGGTACTGTCCCGCTGTAAGGAGGACAGAGGTCAAGGTGGCTTCGTTGCTGACAGTCACTGTAGTGAGGGTGTTTACAGTCGGTGGCCCTTCCTCTAACTCGGCCACTTGTGTAGTGTTGTAGATCCCAGAGGCCTGAGCTGGGATCCTTTTGGCCTGTTGTGGTTCTGGAAAAGTCATCTAAGTGCTTCATTCTGTGAGGTCTGATCAGTGCACCTCCAGTCACGGATGGAACGTTCAGAAGGTATCCATGGTCTGGGTTTGGGTTGTATTAAAAATGTCAAGTCATTCAGCAGCGAGTACCTGTAGCCGGACAAAGTGCCATCTTCTGTACTTGGATTGTGGCAGAGTGCAGTCTAGACAGAGTTGTGACATTAAGGCTGAGGCCTAATAGGTGAAGAGTCAGCCGCCCGCAGTCATCCAAGTGGCCAGCATGTGGAGAGTGGAGGCTCTGGGCTCTGCGGGTGAGCGGCAGGCGGGAAGGGCTGTGGCTGGAGAGTAGCATGGGCAGGGGGAAGTGATCTGAGAGAGCAGAGGGCTGGCGAGTGCCCCAGAGCCCACCAGCCATGTGACTTTTAAGAACATGCTAAGGAACTGGGTATGACTTTTAAAAACTTGAAGATTTCTAAGGGTTTCAGCAAGGCGGATGAGGCAGAGACAGAATCACTTGAGTGGTGTGAGCTTTGTTAATGTCAGCCCTTCATAAAAAGCTTGCTGTGAGACAGGCCTGGTGCTCAGTCCCTTTCCCTTATCATCCCAGAGAAACATCACGACCTCTCAGGGAGGGGCTGAGCCACAGCAGGGTAATCAGCTTGTCCAAGCCGCCATGCAGCTGTGGCAGAGCTGGGATTTGATCCCAGTTACTCTAAGATTCTCAGTCCCAAGCTGTTAGTGCTAAGACATTCATTCAGGAATCTTTAAACTGAGTCAATCACAACTGGTTTTTGTTGTTGTTGTTGTTTTTTGTTTTTTTTAGATTTTCATTTGTGTGTGTGAGCATCTGTGTAAGTGTATAGGTGATCTCAGAGGCCAGAAAAAGGCAGTATACCCTGAAGATGGAGTTACGGGCAGTTGTGAGCTGCCCAGAGTGAATGGTGGAATCTCAAGTCTTGCCTTCTGCAAGAAATAGTAAGAGCAAACTTAACCTCTGAACCATTTCTCCAGGCCCTGAGATTATTTCAGAGTACTTTGTATGGGTGTAAGGATTAAATGCTAATATATGAAGGTTTTCATATTTTAATTTTTTGTAACTACATTGGCACACATCTAAACTTGGGAGGTGTGTAGAAGGATAAGCATTTGTAGAAACAGGACTTGAGTGCTCTGGTTAGAGCTAGAGAGAAGCATAGGCTTCAATGGTAAGGCCGAGGCGCCAGGACTCAGCATAGAATTGTATATGTGCGCCTGGCAGGGAGGGGTGTGAGGAGTGGGTCATGGAGTTCCACGGGAGCAGTGAAATTCCTAATGTGAGCTGTGCTTACTCCACCCATAGAGAACCTGGCCTTAGTGGGTCCTCATGTTTATTCCAGCTCCTGATGCTTGCTGCTCTCAGCTGTGATTGCTAGCACTTGGGGCTGGCATCCTACCTGTGTGAATGCTCATGTCCCACCTGAGGGATGTGAACCCGTGATGTGTAATCTGTGACTGAAAGATGCCCGAGCAGGGGTGATAAACCAGATATGATTCTCTCCGAGTCTGAAGTAAGCTGTGATCCACTGTATCTCAGAGAAGCAATGGGCCATGAGGCCAGTGATGGGGGTGGCTTTGATGGGGTCACCTTAGGATCCATAGAACCTTTAGGTTTTGCTGTGCCATTTGTCTTTCCAAGGAGAAAAGAAACATTGTCGGAAAGCCATTGTGAGGTGAGACAAGGGCATGCATAGAACTTGGATGGGCGGTGTGGAGTTGAGCTCCTGACATCACACACTGATGACAGCATCAGTCTCTCGGCTTTCACATTTCACTTGGCTGTGTGGTGTTCACTAGAATGATTGTACTAAGCGTAAGACTGACACACTTTGAAGGTTTCTAACCTGGGTGGCTGGAAAGCGTGAGAGCATCCTGGGGCGGGTGGCAGTTATGACGTTTGCCTTGGCTGGCAGGCCAGTGTGGGCAGCTGCCTTGAAGGAGGACACCTGTGGCTCCTGAACTCCCACCACAGGGGACAACAGGATTGTGGGAAGCTAATCTCTACTATGCCTAGCAGTTCTTAGTAATTCCTTGTTGCTAACGGAATCATGAAGAACCATTTTAAGAAGAATCTGACCGCTCCTTCTGTAAAGGTACAATCCCAAAGTTCCGTTCACCTTCATGTTTAGTGTTGACGTCACAGTGATGTGTGGGTCTGCTGGGTGAGCTAAAGGAAGGCTGCGTCCTTCACCCAAGGCGGAGCAGCCACATACTACACTTCTGCGGAGCTTACCTTTTACCTGTGTGACAGCAGACACAGAGTAGAAAAGGATTTATGGATTGATTTGTATTTGCAACTAGAACACCAGGGCTTTGAGGAGGAATGAACTTGTGTGGTGCTGATTTCTCCTTCCTTGTCTTGTATGACAGTTCTCCTTCTAACCCTCTGGGGGTCAGACAGTGAATTGCGTGTCAGAAGAAATGAATGATGCAGAGGGGCTTACGGGTATCATCTGTGGGGTGCACACTAGTGGGGGTGCACACAGGCCATGGGGACTGTAGGAAAATGCTATCTCTTAGACTCTTAATTGTAGTTTCTTGTGTGTCTCAGGGTGTATATATCAGAATAGTCATGCCAGATATAATAAGCATACATGTATTTGGGGTAACTCCTTTCTTTGAGTGCCGGTATTGTGCACATGCTAAAAAAAAAAATGTTTGAAAACCACTTTATGTTCAAATGGTGATACTTTGTCTTACATTGTAACATTTGAGGAGGGGAAGGCTTTCTGTGCAGGCTAAACCATACTTTTGGTGATAACTGTGGCTTTATCTGACTTTGACCTCCCAGAGCGCAGCTTGTAGAAAGTGAGTTCTAAAATGTGTCCTGACACATGGGACCTCTTTTCCTGTGCTGTGGAGTACACTTGACCTTGTGTTGATTGGAGTCTCTGGATGAGAAGCTATGCATGTGCCTAATCGTTGCTCCTCATTATGGGTGAACGGGGTGCCCATCCCAATGTGTGACCTGGCCATACCCATGAACTGTCTCCAAGTAGAGGGTGGGATTTAGACTGAAAGTTCTGGCCAGCCCTTGGCTCTTATCTCAATATTTTTCAGACATCTAGGAAGTTCTGGGCTTAGGAAGTTCTTACTCTTTAAGAGCCTTGCCTTAAAGTTAGAATTACTGTCATCAACCTGCTTTGCTTGAAGTTTGTTGAATGAATCTAGATTGTCCCTCCGGAGACTTTTGCCTTCATTTTTGTGTTAGTAACAAGTACATGTTTGACTTCATGCTGACAGTTTGTTGTTTAAAACCCCTCACCCCCCGAATATGTTAAGTGACATCTTCCCTGTGTGTTTGCAGGTCGGTGACAGTTAGAAGCATGCTTTCCACTGCTCTCCCTGATCCCGTCTGCCACCCAGGATGTCTGTGAGCGAGAGCGCAGTGTTTGCCTATGAGTCTTCCGTGCACAGCACCAACGTCCTGCTCAGCCTCAATGACCAGCGGAAGAAGGATGTGCTGTGCGACGTCACTGTCGTGGTGGAGGGCCAGCGGTTCCGAGCCCACCGCTCGGTGCTGGCTGCCTGCAGCAGCTACTTCCACTCGAGAATCGTAGGCCAGGCCGATGCTGGGCTCACCATCACACTGCCTGAAGAGGTGAGGGGCCACAGCGCTGGCAGTCACAACCAGCCCTTACCCGGCTACCTTCTGATTATGAACCAGGAACGAGCTCTAGTCTCCCTGAGATGAGCGTCTCGGGGAGCCTTTCTGTAGCAGCCCTCCTCCGGCTTGTAGCAATATTGACGTGTAAGGTTCTCCCTTTGGATGTTCATAGTTGTTGGACAGTGGAATATGTAGATCCAGTCCCTCCAATAGATTATCTCACTTAGAGAGTGCTGGCTGTGTGACTCTGTCCCATGGCGGGACAGCCATGACAGGTTCAGGGTGTGTACGTTCTCTCTCAAGACATCTCCCATGAAAAGCAGGCACTCTGTACGTGTATTTCTCCCTGGTTTCTTTTTTTTTTTTTTCTTGAGATTATCTTTGTTCTTTGGGAGGAAAGAAATGATCTGTTTTTTTTTTTTTTTTGGCCGGTGAGATGGCTCAGCAGGTAAAGGCGTCTTGTTGGCCTCAGTTTAATTCCCCGACTCACATAGTGGAAGGAGAGACCAGAAGCCTGCAGGTTATCCTCTGACCTCCACATGCTTGCTGGCACACCCTGCCACATCCCCCACCCAGTAAACAAACAAGTTAATATTAAAGAACAAAATGGTTTAGTGTCTTCCTTGTAGAGCCCTGTTTACATACACCCTCCCATCCCTAGTCTGTGTAACTTCAGCTTGTGAATACTAGGGTCTCTGCCACCTTCCTAGCTTGTACTGATTCTCCTGGCTCTGTTTATTGGCCTGTGGTTGGGCAGTTATTGCTCTTAGCATATTTTCACATTGGACCCAAAGGGTTTTAAGGCGACTAGGAGACTGTAGAACTTACTGTGTATCATAGTGTGTGATGTTCCCTGTTGGTGTAATTGGATAATCTGAAAACTAACCCCTAGTGGAGCCTGTGGCTGGTGCTGCATCTTGTCTGTGTCTGTGTCTGTATTATTGGGGGGTGGCTCAAGGGTACCCTACAAAAGAACATGAATCCCAATAGTGGCATGCTTTCTACAGTTCATATTTAAGCTATTTAATGTGTCTTTAGGGGTAGAACAAAGTATGTTTAATGGATTTTTAAGAGAAGATATATGTATTAATACACAAGTATATGTATAGTGTGTATATTTGTATGTTTTATGTTCATTCTGATGACGTCTAAATCACAAGTTTTCAAATATTTGAACTGTTCCATCACAGTGACAATTGAAGACATTGCATATATTATTTGGTTGTTTTAGCATATTTTGGAAAAGTTTAATTGAAATTTTTATTCAGATTATTATAAATTTAGTACGGTCTTAAGGAATAATGCTCAGTGTTCCATCAGTAATGTTCTGAAAAATTAATAATGTTCCAACAGGAATATTGATGAGATGGCTGTAGTGTTACGTGCATTAATTAGTTTCTGTTAGTTCTATAAAGGTTCCTGTATTCTTCGTAGTTACAATCTGGAACCTGAGGATCCTGCATGCTGCTTATGCTAATTCTTTCTTGCGCTTGGGCCCCATTCTCCCTTCCCCTCTTCTGTCTCTAGATGCTGGCAGCCACTTTCTGTGAAGTTTTGTCATTTCAAAAAAGCCATGGAAGTGGGACAGTGCAGTGCTATGTGACCGTGTTGGCTTGCCCTTTTCACACTTAGGATAATCTCCTTGATATTATCCAAACTTCTTGTACCAATAGTTTATTCCGTGTTGCTGATAAATATTGTATAATAGTTACGTCTTAATTTTCCGTTTTACCCATTGAAGGAACTGAGATTAGTTTCGATTTTTATCTGTTACAGATAAAAGTCGCTTTAGGTTCTTTTGTGAAAATAAGTTCATTAATTAGGGATAAAAAATCAGAATGTTTTTCTGGTCCTAAGGTAGTTTTGCATATTTAATAATAAACTACCTAGTGACTTTTAAAAGTGTCTGTCCTCTTGACCTCCCTACCAGCATTGGGAATGACTCAGTTTCACTGTTCTTGAAGAATGTGCTGGTGTTTATTTTAGCAGTTTCGAGCTAAGGGCTGTAAAAGTAGCCTGTTTTAGGAGAGCCGAAGTGCTTTGGTCAGTCTGGTAGTGATGCAGAGTTCTAAGTGTAGTTTGTATTTTGAACCCAGGGTGAACGCTCTGTGCACATTTGTGGGCTCTTTCCACCCCAGCCATGCAAACACAGCCTCGGTGTAAATGCATAGGGCACAGGGGTCTGTTCGGAGCTTTAAAGCCATTCAGAAGCAGGGATTAGAACCTCTGCATCTGGATCATTAAAATATTATTAGAAATATTTGGCACAAGGCGGTACTTACCTTTTTTTTAAAAAAAAAAAGATTTGTTTTATTTTTATTTGTGTGTGTGTGTGTGAATTCAGATGCCAGCAGAGGCATCCAATCCCCAGAGCTGGAGTTATAGGCAGTTGTGAGACTTCCCCATTAGGGTGCAGAGAACCAGACTCAGGCCCCTCTGCAAGCGCAGCCAGAGCCACGATCACTGACCTCTCTCCAGCCAATACTTTGGCTTATTGTGCTGGTTTTGATAGTTAAGATATTTCTATAAGTATTTTATAAGTACTTCTCATTTTTAAAAATTCCACTCTATAGTTTATTACTGTTAGTATTGTTTGGCCTTTGGGAACTGCACCAGCACCTGGCAAAGCCATTGCTGTTTTCCCCTATGAGTGGATCTGCCCTGCTTTATTTCACAGATGACCTCTTTCCAAGTGCAGAATCACGGTTTTGTCATAAGGAGTAGACTGTATTGATGTGGAATTCCTAAAGTGGAGGTTCCGTCCTGTTGAATAGGGGTGGGACCCTACGTTGCCCATCTTCCTTACTTTTGCATTTCATAGAGGGTTATCTTTTCTTACAAATTAAAGTACCTATCCAGCCACCACAAGTAAGTTTGTATGTCTCTGTAGCTCTTCTCCTGTTGTCCTGGCTAGACAGCTGTTAGACCTGCTAGTCGGCTGTGAACGACCCGTTTATTTTTGTCTTACGTGTTAACAGGTGACCGTTAAAGGATTTGAACCTCTGATTCAGTTTGCCTACACTGCCAAGCTCATTCTAAGCAAAGACAACGTTGATGATGTGTGCAGGTGTGCAGAGTTCCTGAGCGTGCACAATATCGAGGAGTCCTGCTTCCACTTTCTCAAGTTTAAGTTTCTGGACTCTACCGCGGAGCAGCAAGAATGTGCAAGGAAAAAATGCTTCTCCCCCCACTGTCAGAAAGCAGACTTTAAAATCTCACTTTCAGACCAGAAAGATCTAGAAATTGTTGAAGCAGAGGAGTACTTGGAAAAGAAAAATATTCAGGCCCCTCAGTGTGACCCCCAAAGGTGTCAGGGCAATGTGAAAGCATTGCCCTCCCTTCAAGACAGTGCCAGTCAGACGTGCCAGGCCATGTACTTGGAGAAGGATGGAGCCCTGGCATTGCCATCTTTGTGTCCCAAGTACAGAAAATTCCAGAAAGCGTTTGGAACTGACAAGATCCGTACTCTAGAATGTGGCATCAAAGATGTCAATGCTGCTTCTGTCCAACCGAACGAGACGTCTGAACTTGAGTGTTTAGGGGGGGCACAAGGCTGTGCAGAGTTACAAGTGATTTTAAAATGTGAAGGAGCGAAGCCAGCCATGGAGAGTGAAGAGACAAAGCGCAGAGACCCCTCCCCTCAGTGTCCCGTGGCACAGACAGAAGCGGCTCCTGTCCCTCACAGTTCCTCAGACCCTCACGGGCTCTATTCCCTGCCACTCTTACACGCGTACGACCAGTCGGGCGACGTGGCCTTTGCTGGAGTGCAAAGCAAAACAGTGAAAGCAGAGAAGCCTTTGTCAGCTCCAGATGCCCAGGAAGAGAAACCGTTCGGTGAAAATCAGGATTTATACCTGAAATCTGAGACGGGCCCCAAAGAAGACAGCAGCAGCCTTGCTTCTGGTGATCGGAGTAGCGTGGAGAGGGAGGTGGCCGAGCACCTGGCCAAAGGCTTCTGGAGTGACATCTGCAGCACGGACTCCACTTGCCAAATGCAGTTGTCACCTGCTGCGGCCAAAGAGGGCTCAGAACAGGGCTTCTCGCAAAGGCGGTCCGAGTGTCCTTGGTTGGGCATCAGGATCAGCGAGAGCCCAGAGCCAGGCCAGCGGACTTTCACAACTCTCAGTTCCGTCAACTGCCCCTTTATAAGTACTCTGAGTTCCGAAGGCTGCTCGAGCAGTTTGGAAATGGGAAACTACGATTACGTGACGGAGCCGCCGCAGGAGCCTTGTCCCTACACTTGTGTGATCAGCCTGGGCGATGACTCTGAGACCGACACAGAAGGTGACAGTGAGTCCTGTTCTGCCCGGGAGCAGGAGTGTGAGGTGAGTGGACGCGCGCTCTCACTGCGCAGACGCTCACTGCGCAGACGCTCACTGCGCAGATGGCCTTCCTTAAGAGGTGCACCTGTGCCTGGCGGAGTGAGGGAGGGGGAGGCCACGCGACAGATGCAGCGTGGTGAGACGGATGTATGGAGTTTGAAAGACTGCAGTGTGCGTGTTTTCACGTTGGTATGTGTATAAATCATGGGGGAGAACCCCACATGGGCCGTGTAACTTTTGTAATCAGATGCCCCAGTAGGAAGAAAGGATAGCAATGCTGTCTTTGTTTAATGGTAACTTTTGGAAGAAAACATCATGTTCATAGCCCCAGCTCATCAAACCTGACAACAGTCTGTGGTATGTGAGCCATGGTTGGCTCTGAGGAGCTGCAGGGTTCTGGCATGTAGGGACGTTTTCTTAGACCTAATTTTTCATATATATTGCTTTTACTTATTTTGTTTTATTTTTATTTAGCCATTTTAGCTATTAGTTTAATGAATATCTTAATAATTCAGCTTGGTTACATGTAGCTACTGACTTTAATTAGCCACTTCAAGCTTACCCCATGCATTCGGTGTGTATAACTTTATATTTACTACTTAATACCTGATTTGTGTAATATTCTGCTTCATTAATAGTAAGTAGGGACCTGTGCATTAGAAATTAGGTTTCTTTAGTTTGCAAAAGTCAGTGTTCTCTTTACCGTGGCCATTCTCACCTTGCTTTCATAAGTAGTTCTTAATCACACTTTTCTTTTTGTGAGTGCCTTACTTGCTCTTTAGTCTGTGGTGGCAGGAGGTGTGTCCTCGGAAGGGTCCTAGAGCACAGAATGGTATTAGCATTCATTGCTATATTAACAGCGTTTCTCTGGAACTTATTTTTGCAATGAAAAGTCACCAAAACCTTTGTCCCATTTCCCTCCTCCCAGCCTGTGGCTCTCCGTTCTGCCCTTGCCATTTTAGGTGAGATAAGTAGGGCTTGCTCTCCGGAATTTGCTTTATTTTACTTAGTATAGTGTTTTTTTCTTATAAGGCTGAGTAATAATAGGTCACAGTGTGCCTGTATGCCACATTGTCTTTGTCCGCTCAGCTCAGTCTGTCTGTCTTGGCCGTTGTCAGTGAATGCAGAAAGACAGATGTTGCTTGGAGATCTGATTTCAGGTCACGTGCACAAATACCTGGGCGGGGACTCTGGGCCACATGGCATGCACACAGTTTTCATTTCCATGAGAACTTGATGGTGGCTTTTGTAGCAGCTTGCTGATCGCCTCCAGCCGTGTACAGAGGGCCATTTTCCATGCCCCAGTCTTCATCGTGGTCTTTTACTTTGCCGCAAGTCGAGGGTGTTGGTCTGAAGAGGCTGCCTTTCCCTGGCTTTGGGAGGAGGTGGATTGCAAGGCCACAGGGTGCAGTCGCTGGAGCCTCCAAAACAGATGAGAAAATAGTCTAGGAAAGTATTCCTGACTTGTTGTCACCGTGTCTCCATTGGCAAGTGAGATGTATGGCTTTTTAAATAAGTCGTATGAAGCTACGTGTTCGACAGAGAAGTTTTCTGAAGTACTATAGAGATGGCTGGCATAATTATTCCAGAACTGCACAGTGCCATTGCTGTGTGTCAAAGATAAAGTGGATTTTATTACATATTAAAAATGCATTAGGGAGAAGCTTCTTAAAGTTGTTAACGTAGTAGTAGTAGACGGATTTCAGTTTGAATGCAGTGCTGTGTGAGGGCTGTGTCTGGTTCGCTGATGTGTCTGACTTCTGAATGCTCTCCCAGGCCAGGAGTCGTCAGCTGAACTGCCCGTTCTGACTGGGGTGGAGTCTGTAGAAACTGGGAAACAGCGGCCTATTTTTAAGGATTTATCTTACTTAGGTGCATATGTGTTTGGCTGTGTGGGCATGTGCGTAGGTGTGCTGGTGCCTGCAGAGAGCAGAGGGTGGGGTCCCCCGGAGCTGGAGTCAGAGGCAGTAGTCAGCAGAGAGCAGAGGGTGGGGTCCCCCTGGAGCTGGAATCAGAGGCAGTAGTCAGCTGCCTGGCATAGAACTCAGCTCCTCTGCAAGGGCAGGGAGCCCTCTGAAGCTGTGGATCGCTCCACCCCAAGGTCTTTTCATAACACGTTAAACTCTGAGAAATGGGACGCGTGTCTTCATCTGCAGCCCATGTGCAGTGCGTGTCTTCATCTGTAACAAATGTGCAGTGTGTGTCTTCATCTGTAGCTGATGTGCAGTGCATGTCTTCATCTGTAGTTAGTGTACAGTGCGTGTCTTCATCTGTAGTTAGTGTGCAGTGCGTGTCTTCATCTGTAGTTAGTGTGCAGTGCGTGTCTTCGTCTGTAGCTGATGTGCAGTGCGTGTCTTCATCTGTAGCCGATGTACAGTGCATGTCTTCATCTGTAGTTAGTGTGCAGTGCGTGTCTTCATCTGCAGCCGATGTGCAGTGCGTGTCTTTATCTATAGCTGATGTGCAGTGCGTGTCTTCATCTGTAGTTAGTGTGCAGTGCGTGTCTTCATCTGTAGTTAATGTGCAGTGTGTCTTCATCTATAGCTAATGTGCAGTGCGTGTCTTCATCTGTAGCTGATGTGCAGTGC